GTGACATTGTCGTGGGTAACGAGATGAGATCGTGACTTTTGTCCAACCTGGATCCCGAGAGTTCTGCAGTCCAGTATATCCCGTATCTCAATTCTGAGATAAAGTGTATTCAAGTCTTGCCGCGTGCGCGCGAGTTCAAAATTCAGACAAAATTGAATAAAACTCGGTTATAGCTGGCGTGTTTTATCCCGTGTTCTTGATATAATTTCATTCCTTCTTCTCGCACGGAACTCGTCTATTACACACATCGGACACGCTCGATATAGTCTTACAGTTAATCGTCTCGTTCGCCCTAATGACTCGCGAAAGATCGCCGGACGTCTCGTTCGCGGCACCGCGCGTATCGCGCCCTGACACGACATACGTTCTCGTGCGTGGCGGAGCGTCATCTCCCGGGATGCATCTCCCTCCCCCCTCCCTCCGGGGAGGATTTATTCGCACGCGGCGGGCGATGCGGCTCGGGCATCGGGCTCGGGGGCTACCGGGCCGTGCAGAACGAGCATGCGAGGCGAATTTATCACGCGGCGTACCACTCGCTGCGCGCGCTACACGGCCGACATCGTAAATCGGTCTGGGAAGTGGTCCAAGCGTTCGGCCGAGCCCCGTGTCAGCGAAATCGTATAACTTCGACGGGTCGACCGCGCTTGTCGGAGAGAGCCCGGTCCCAGTGGCGTCGAGGCTTCAACGCCACGCATTGCACGGAAATTTCATCCATCAACACGCGACAGAACTCACCGTGTGTCACGCAGATCTTAAACGCAACCGTTTAATTTAGTTTTGTCAAACGTAAGAGTCTAAGCAACGCTTTCGTGAAATTGCTATTTTTATGGTTAAAAAGCTATTAGAAAATCTAACGGTTTTCACGAATTAAAACTGCAAAGAATACGAAAAATTTTATTTTTTATATCTAAGACAAAGATAAATTTCAACAGAATTTCAGGGAAAGTTGAGAATTAGCAATTTTAAGGGAGGTAGGGTGCGGTTTTAATGAAATTTGCAAGTGTAACGCGACGCCATTGCGGATCAGCAGACCCACCGTAAAGCAAAGAGCTCGACAGGACCGTCGGTCGGCGAAACGCCGGTAAAGCGCCGATATCAAAGACCAGAAGTCGTTCTGAACTCGCGTCCGGTATAGTCCGTCTCGCGGATCTCAAAGAACCCGCGCGACGGAATATCGCCGGCGATCCGCTCGTAAAGTGACGACGACGACGACGACGACGACGACGCGAATCGTCAGGCGGACCGATGACGAAAAGCGAATGCAGACAGAGAGGAGGAGATGTAGATGAGAACGCAGACGGAGGTGGCGAGATGTCGTCGGGGGAGCGACGATGCTGACGACGACGACGACGACGACGACGACGACGACGCCGACGCCGACGCCGACGCCGACGACGAGGACGGTGGTGGTGGTCGTGGCGGACCAGATGTTTGGCTAATGATGTCAGCGGAATCGTAACTAAAACCGAGGCGGTCCCGGACTTAGCACCGGCTTAGCCTCAGCTTTGAAGGAAAGAGTCTTATTACCGGGGGCCTGCACGTGCTGCTCGTGAGCGCGAAACCGTAGGGTAATTGGACCACCCACTCGACACACCAAGAGTGCCACTCTCACTCTTTCTCTCTCTCTCTCTCTCTTTTTCTCCGCTCGTCGCTCCCTCGCGCTCTGCCTCCCTCCCTCCCTCCCTCTCTCCTCTTCGCTTCGCTTCCCTCTTCTTCTTTTTTTTTTGTCCTTCGTCGATCGCCGAGGACGCGAAAACGACGGCGAGCTTTCGACGAGCAGATAAACTGGAAGTCGCGCGACGACTTCCAGTCTCCCGACAGTCGTCGCGAGGCGGTTCGCTCACGCTCGTGATGCCGCACGCGGAAGGAAGATGCTAATGCGTCGTCTCACGGGCTTATCGAGAACATTGCCTTACCGCGGGACTCGTTATTTTGCGATTACCGGATAAAATGTATGATAGGAGAACGGGGATGACGGGTTGTCTCCCGCTCATAGATGCCGACTACAGATTACAGATGTAAATTATGAGACCCGTTGCTTATCGGAGAGGCTCTTATTGAAAATTCAAAAAATGTGTGACATGTATTTAAATAAAGGAATACATTAGACACCGAATTGGTTCTGAAAAAGAGAGTGCTATCTCGGACATTAGATCAGTTTTAAGCCCCATCTACATACGTCGCAAACGCAAAACGCAAACGAAAACGCGGACGTTTCTCTCTTTCTATTCTTTTTTTATGTTTCTTTCTTTTTTCCTCCGCGTTTGCGACTTATATAGGATGGGACTTTAAAGCTATTTAATGGATATTACTAAACGATGGGATATATAATTATGTTCTATAAATTTTCTATTATATTATTAATGTCTATAAAGACATACAAATTCTTTAAATTTTTGTATTTGCTCCTCTGAAAAATAAGAGTTTATTTTTACAAGCTTCATTAATGGGATATTTATGTAGACTGCATATTTTTGATACATAATTTTTTTATTGTTTGTTATTAACGTCAAGTATTTTTAAATATTTTATAGTATATCTATTAAGTTTAATATTGAAGTGACGATACATTGCAACGGTGCACTCCTCGGTTGGATTATTATCATAGAAATAGGACGCCTCGTTTGCTTCCTAGTTTTTGGAACAGTGCGGATTAATTGGACCACCTACGGACAACTGGAGTTGCGACAAGCGACTCCTCTTTCCAAATAAATACACGCGTGTTGCGCCTCATCTCGGGCGGGAGGGTCTTCCGAAGCACGTCGGTATACTGCCTCCCCGAGCAGTCGAAGCAGCAGGAGCGTGTCGTACCGCCGCCGCATCTCGTCCGTGACACTCGACCCGGAAGACAAGACTGATTTATGCCTGCTGGGCTCGCCGGACGGAAATTAGATGGGTTCGTGTCGAGGGATATCACTGCGTTTGTTTGACATTTTTATGCGGTACCGCCGATGCCTTCTTTCGTCCCGGGCACCAGTGCGCGTGGGAAGACGTTAATTAACGGCATCATCTAATCACCCAATTACCAAGATTCGGTTTCAAGCCCAACTAACACTTTTAGCGTCTGAAAAATTTACTCTAAAAAATATATTCGTATCCTCACAAAAATCACCGAAAACTTCACGTTAATCCTTGAAAAATATATATCGTACATTTACTTCTCTATAATCGTATTATCTTTGCAACGATCCTAAGTGTTTTAGTAAGTACAGATTTTATTTTGAAGGGTAAATCTGCATAAAAATATTGCTAAAATTGATATATTATTGATATATAAATCTCTATACTTTGCCTAATTGAAAATTTAAACTAGTAGGTATAATATATTACCAATAATTAATGAAGATACAAATTTTATAATTATGAAATATTGACGTGACACGCGTCGCAATAGATAAAATAGAAGAGAGACCTTTTTCGGCCTTTTTGTAAAATGTAATTATCTTGTATTGTTATCCTCTAAAGTACCTATAGTTACTAACGCCTTGCAAACGTAAGCTGACGCGTTTCGCGCTTAAACACGCGGAAAATTTTGTCGGTTCAACACGTCTTTTGTCGTGTTTGAAAACTTTACAATGGCCCGGGCGCGTAGGTATATCTCCCTCGGGAATCGGGCAACGAAAACCTGTCCCTCAAAGGTTTTGCCAAAGAGAAGGAAGGCACACGGTCGTCGGTCAAGACAGTCTCGGTGCCGGAGAACCTCGGAAATGGGGCCACCTGTGTTCCCAGTCCGTCCCACGTCCGTCGTGGGTGGGCCTGTCGGGAATGCGAAACACCGAAACTTCAGGGGTGATCAGCAGATCTGACTTAGGGTAGATTTCCATCCAGGGGCGGAGAGGAAATGCAGCCCGACCACTTAAGAGGCTACTACAAACGTGACGATATGTAGACCAACACGCGGACAAACTTTCTCGGATTTCTTCCTGTCCGACCACCGTCGACGGTATTTTTAAGTGTCGAGTGTGAACAAAGCGTCCCTTTGCCCTCGCAGTGAGAGGTAGCTCTGCCTGCTAACGTACCAGAAACTGTTTAGAAGAGAGCCATTATGAAGAAAAATGAGAGGAAAGAAAGAGGATCATTTATTACAACTATTTAATGGCAATAAAGATTATTTACTTTAAAGCCTCGAAAGAAGGTTACTGAAAGCATCGGGAGCTACGGAACTGTGATTTTGCAGAAATTAATGCTTCCTTCCTGACCGATATCTTTTGTGCGCCGCAGAATTCAGGGACATTTTTTTATGCGCACGGCGCTTACTTATGCACGCTCACACAATTACGCTCCTGTCTTTGTCGTCCCGCTTGAGCTTCATATTTTTTGCTCGTGCCGCGAAACGTTCGGCTCCTTTGGCGAATGAAAAATTGTCCAATCTCATTGTGCTGCGGAGAGACACTTTGTCAAAGGGTTAAAACTGCCGTATTCGGCATTCGGTATCGAGCTGCAATACCGCGGTCGCTTATCCCGGTCAAAAGTAATATCCGACCTCTCGGTTTGAGAGCGATGAATCAACCGGCGACGCTACTATTTGGCAGAAAAATCTCAAAGCCATGTGCATCTCTCCGGCTCGCTCCTGTAACGCCGCGCCGCCCGCGCGAGGTCTGTCCCGTGCATCAGCGATGTTTCCCCTATCTCTCTTCCACGATCCCGCCGATTCCCCCCCCCCCACCTCCTTCCCACCCTCCCGTATAGGTACGTCGCTTCGCCGCCTTCTTCTAATTTTACGAGCCGTTGACTCCCGATCGATGGAACGAACCGTTTCGAAACAGCCGGCCGTTTTCCGCCACGCGCCGTTGGCTGTCCACGGTGACGTAATTTTCCCGGAGCGAAAAGGCCATGCTGTCGCGCGCGCCCGGTAATAAGATCGGGGAATTTGCGAGAGAGATCGCCCGATGTTAATGCGAGTCCGGGGAGGGGGGGGGGAGGACGACCGGATCTCTCCGAGATCGCCAATCTCCCGTTCGCCGTGTACTAACCGACGGCCGTTTTTCCGCCTGTTACAGATCACGAAGCTCAAGATCGACAGTAATCCGTTCGCCAAGGGCTTTCGGGATTCCTCTCGCCTCACGGACTTCGAAAGGTAAGCTTCTTGCTAACTGATGTTAAACATTCCCAAATTTGATAAAACCTGTTGTCAAATCTGTTAGAGAAGAATTTAGAACTACATAAATTCAAGTTGACTTCGCTTGAATTTCTTTGTATTTCAAATCTGCATTGATGCTGGAAAATGATTTATTTTTATTTTTTGTTAGTATAACGTTAAATTTATTTAAAGTTATTCGCTAGCGTGTAAAATCGTAAGTAACTACCGGGGTTTGAAGGAATTTTCGTTCAATTTATCTTCTTTTGACGTTTGACTTATCTTATTTCGCATCATTAATCTTAATGGCGCCAAAACCCATGTCAGAAGAAGATAAATTAGGAAGTGAAAATGTGGAAATGGATAACGGATGGTTCATTAGTAAATTTTGTTCGCAAATTCCGCGTCGATGTCCTTCCGGAGAATCCCGTGGCTAGCAGGCGGTATGCATAATGGAGCAGCTTTCCTTTCAGGGAGACGATGGAGTCGATGTTGGCGGAACAGCAGTCGCTGAGGTTTCCGCATCGGCTTCCCTTCGAGATGGAGCAGCTCCAGGCGGGCGCCGTGAGCAATCTCACTCTCGAGGAGAAGGCCCTGTGGGCCGCGCGTTCTCAGATGCTGCTGAGGGCGGCGGCGGCCGTGGCCGCCAGTCCTTACGCCCAGCTGGTCAACCCCGCTCTGGTTTATCCGGGCGCCGCGGCCGCGGGCACCAGTCACCAGCAGCAGCAGCAGCAGCACCAGCAGCAACAGCAGCAGCAACAACTGGGCCATCTGTGGTGGGCCTCGTCGATCGGGTCCACCATCTTCGCGGCGGCGCACCACCAGCAGCAGCTGGTCGCGTCAAGCTCCCAGCAGAACCCGACCGGCCCCGCGGCCCCGCGACCGCTGTATCCGTCGCCTCTTGCTCTGACCCACCATCGATTCTCGCCGTACCACACTGTCCCCAAGTCCTCGACGCCGGTCGCGCCGTCGCCGTCGCCGTCCAGAAGGGCCACGCCGTCGCCCACGGATAGTCTCAGCAGGGAGGCCCAAGATCTTTCGCCCTCGTAGTCCCTCGTGGCATCGTTAGAAGATTGTTTGATTTCAGTGATCAGATGAGAGGACACTTTGAACGTGGTATGGATGTTGAATTTTATTAGGGGGTAACACAAATGAGCGAAAAGAGCCTTATTCGGTCAAAATGGAAATATTGCTGCCTAATAATATTTTTGCACGTTTTCCAGTTTTAAAAGTGCTACAAGTTTACGGGGTTTCTCCGTGTCTTGATTCATTGTTAATGTCATGGAAAAAGCGCGTTGAATATTCGTCGGTATTGAAGCATTTTCTGGGTAAATTCTAAAAGAAAATTCTCCTCGTGCAGAGATCCGCGATGATCTTCACCGCGGATCGGTACGCGCGAGGAACGGAAAAAATGTAAAAATGTGTAACCATCCTGACCAGCTCTAGGAAGGATGGAGAAAAAAATGATGTAATGTTCGAATTGATAACGAATTTGAATGTTTACTACAATTTAATAATAACGATGCTAATGATGCATTTTAAACTCTTGCAAAGAATTTATTACGAAAATCCCAGCCAAATGTCTACATTAGTCGCAACGCGCAATTCGCAAACGTGGACGCAAGATGACGTTTCTCTCTTTTTTCTTTTTTTTTATGTTTCTTTCTTTTTTTTCTCTGCGTTTGCAAATTGTGTTTTGCGTATTGCGACTTATGTAGACCGGCCTTTATCCGGAACGCGTTTTTATCAATTCGACCACAGATTGTGAAGCACGTGGTGATATTTATTTATTAGGGAATCAATTGTCGCGTCTTTCTGAGGGATTCTATGTTTGAGACATTTGACTAATTGTAAGACTGCGCGACGAAAGCTGGTTTTTCTCATTCAGAAATATAGGAGATTATAATTGGACCGTTTAATTACGTTGCGACTTTTTTATGGAGAGGAATCTAATTCCTCTCCATGTGATGAAAGTCAACTTTTCTCGACTGAGATCGGAGCGTTAGCGATTAATTCGCCTTGCAATATTCGTCTTCTTTCCCGAGAAACTGACGCGAAACTTTTCTTGCGCGCGATGAAAGTTGATTTTTATCGTATTAATTTTACTTAAAATAATTCTCTTTTTCTTTCAGAGAATTCCCAGAATTCTCAGTTAAAGAACATTTTTTATTGTGCAATATCTATGATACAACTATAGTTATTACGTTTTTCGTTCTAAGTGTTTTAACTAAAGGAGCCGGTCTCCATTCCGTTAGACGAATACAGGATGAACAAGCATTCGCACACATGCAAGCGTAACGTGACAAATCGAAATGATGTTTGTAAAAAAAAAAAAAAGCTGGGATCGATTTTCGTCGCGCGTGTCACGTGTCGCACGGTGTCGGTATAGAGACGGGTCAGGTGGAGGTCTCGCCGCGCGCGCGAGCGCGCGAGGCACCGACGAAACGTGCAGAATCCGGCGTGAATAGCGACGATAATTGTGGTGTCAAAGGTTCCCGCGTGGTTGGCCACGGCGCGAGTTGTCGCGCCTTCTCTCGCGCCGCGAAGACGAAGGAAGGAAACGTAAAGCACACGCTCTCCGGAGAGTCTGAATGCTGCGGCGGCCTCTCGCGGGCCTGAACTCACGACCTTTGCCGAGCGTGGTGGCAAGCACGGGGGACCCGAGCCGTCTCTCACGTGACTCGGCGATTCCGTTGTCTTTCCCCGGCTGAACCCTGGGACCCGAGGGAACCGAGAGAAGGCCGATCTGTACATATCCTTACCTTGATCAACGATCGGAAGCGATAGGGCCGCCGATAGGGATCCTGGTAGTCAGGATGCACTCCTAAGGACGCACTTTGAAATCGATAAAAATATTGTCGGTAAAAAAATCTGTCGCACTTGCAGAAGAGAGAGAGAGAGAGAGAGATGCCGGTAATAAAATACTTTCAAGTTTAAACTTCATTTTTCTAATTTGTCTTTGTATTGTATGCTTTATTTGACATGCATCTTGGAAAATATTACAGGTCACTGGGACTCCTTACTCTCGACTTGTCGACGGAAAAAGTGAGACGATATGCCAAATCGGATAATCCGATTTCTCAGAACAGAAAGATTTTCGTTGTGCGCCCTTATTTCATCAAAACTGTCACTGCGTATTTTTGTACGCAAGAAACACGATCACGCGACGAGCTTCGTTATACTCGAGCGAACGATCCGCACACGGGGAGAATTTTATTTTAAAATTTACCCTGAAAATTATGTTAATCATAGAACAACATAGTATTTCGACAAATCTTATATGATTTTCATTATTTTTTTTAATATGTACTACAACAAATTTATTTTAGTGCACAGTAAAAAAGAAACAGAGAAAATCACATATAGAATTTGCCGAAATACTATGTTGTCCCACGATTAACATGATTTTCTGGGTAAATTTTAAAAGGAAATTCTCTTCGTGCAGAGATCCGCGATGATCTTCACGGCGAATCGTACGCGCGAGGAGCGACGAACGGAAAAAAAAAATGTAAAAATGTGTAACCATCCTGATTCTCGAGGCGGCATAATTGCCGCACATAAATACACGTATATGCATCTTTAAGGACAAAACTAATGTACGGCGACTAAAGTCTACTTGTATATAGATATACATATATCTACTTTACGACATAAGGTAACTACCGCCTCTATCTCTTGTAATATAAGCTGTATATTTCGTATCACGAGCTATTGTTATCGTTATTTATGTTTTCGATTCCATACGTCGAGACGCGGGGTGAGCGCGAGAGTGGACACGGCACGACGTTGCGACACGAAGGGAATCCACGACCATTTATGATAGATCGTTCGAAGGAAAGAGTCCGAGAGTCGATTCACACAGTTTAAGTCGAGCGAGATCGAAGGGAGTCAAGATTATTATACATACACATGGATTTCCGGGCAAACACTTCGCGCGTTCTCCGCAAGCACCTAAAGGATTATTATCGCCGCGGCGATTAGCGTTAGTGTAGAGCGTTATATTGTTAAATGCTTGTGTTGTGAGGAAACGCATACACCTATTGCTGTGCAAGCTGCTCCCTTGTAAATAAACCCTAAATAAACTTCTTGTACCGAAATACCTCCGCCGCCGCCGGCGTATCGTCTCTCTCCGTAATATTTCACCCTCCTACTGGCCATCGTGCATTTCTTTCACGTACCACCCGTTCCCGAAATTCTCGTCCCGTTTAAATTACAAGAAACTTCGAAAAGATAACAGAGTTAATCGCATTTTTTATCACTTGTTCACATAAGAATTTAATCCAGGATGATCCATGCAGGGGGAGGGGAGGGGAGGCAGAAGTACTGCAGCGAGGCATGCATCATCGTTATCATATAATTAACTCATAAATAACGAAAACATTTCCTTCTTTCTCTTGTAGATTATTTATCGTCGCGCCGCAGATATTATCCCTACGGACACAAATCGCTCGAGTATCCACTCTCTCTCATCCTCGTGGCCGTGGGTACGGTCTGATGTGATCGAGGTAAGGAACTATTATTCGCATTGCGATTCTCTGCTCGAGCTGGCGTGTACGCGCGCTTATAGGCAAATGTTGTCGGCTCTGTAGACGGTTAACCGGCTACAGGATGCCCCGTTTAAAGGCATCATCACGCGATCCTCGAGCCGACCGTGCGCGATTAGGGGATGAAGGAGTTCGCCATTTGCTGGAAATGCAAGCCGGCGAGACCGACTGATCGCCGACGCGGTCATGAGATCGCGCTCTTCTCGCGTCGTTATTTCTCGCCGGGCCATTTTTGTCAGCGCACGTGAGACACGCGTTTATCACGGCGAAGAAATTCTACTTTAATAATATATACTTTCCAATATAAGTGTTATTATATTTTAATAATACATTTCCCGATTTTAATTTGCTGAACTATTTAAGAATATCGAAAGCAAACAATTGAAAATTCTTACAATATATTTATATGTGATCCTTTATATTATTTTGAAGCTCTCTCGTGAATTAAGGGTAATAACATAATGTCTCACACTCGTTGAACATTTTCTTTCTAGCAAATTTCAAATTTCACAAAGTGATTATCTTACTACGCTCTTCATAATCATCACAATATATATTTACTTTATCTTCCGTCCGTTAAATCGCAAACGTGTCCATATGAAAGCCGTAACTTTCACTGCGTCAGCAAATGAAATAATTAATTAGTATACTAACTGGGATTAAATTTATCGTTCGCCGAGCTGTTCGGCTTTATTAATTCGTCGGGCGATCATCGTGTCGTAAAGTGGGCAGGATGAATACATTTCCGTCGTTACGGCCGTATCGGACGGACATGAATAGACGTGCGGCCGGTCGGCCGGCCGATCCATCCTTTGGTCGTAAATCACGTGTCGCGTTCGGCACGAAAGGGCGACGGGATCCGGTATTAGCGGCGCGGCGCCGAGAGGAGTGACACGGTGAGAGCGTTACGACGGGAAAAAAAAAGGGAAAAAGCGCGGCGCAACGTCTCGTCGTAAACATCGAGGATGTCCGGCCGCTTGATTAGGTCCTCCCTCCCCCTCTCCTCCTCCTCTTCCGTCGCGTCGACCGTAAAGCACGCGATTGCGATCGCGCTTTCGGTAAAAAGACCGGGCACGACGGCGCATGAGGCTGCCTCTGCTCATTAAAGTGGAGCACATTTTGCCGCGCGAGAGAGAGAGAGAGAGAGAGAGAGAGAGAGAGAGCGACTTCTCTCTGATGGGAATATAATTTACGAAGAATTTATCACGGATACACCAGATGTCTAAGAACGTCTTAATCGTTCGGATATCCTTCACGTATAGCACCTTGATTTCTCTTTGACTTATTGTTAGATTTTGTTTGACGTGCTATATTATACAGTCGAACTTCGATAACTCGAATCTCAAGGAAAGGGCTAAACTCTTCGAGTTATAGTTTTCGACTTATCGAAATTCCAATAAAAAAAGGGTTAACATAATAAAAATTCAACTTACTTTGTACGAAAGTTTATAATTTAAAGATTATAATGGCTTTAAACGAAAAAAAATCAATATTCAATATTTGACA